CTCGACTCACAATCTGAGGGTCGCGTGTTCGAATCCGCATACCACCAAACATGCTCGCCCTTTCAGCCGTGGGGGCGTTATAATGTGATGGTCAATCCCACTATTCGTTGGTAAAAGAGTAGCCCAAGAGTTGGCGTGGGTGGTGATGACTAGCTTGCCTTCCCTCTAGTCTTACACTGCTAAATTAGGGACGGCTAGCGCAGATAGCCCTCGTGTAGCTTTGCGCGAAATTCAAAAACAAACAAACAAACACTATTGAGAAGAATGATTCAAGGATTTATGTGTTACAAGAAATGTAGATGTAATGTTTCATGAAGTTATCTACATAATCTGGTCATTTATTTGTCCTGTCTAATAGTAGGTGATTGTTACATAATTAAACTTGTAGTTGTTAAAATCACATGACTAAACGATGGACTTTAATTAAAAACTACAACAAAATTGTACCCTTGATGAGGTGAAAAATCAAAATGATTTCATCATTAATCCATTTTTCTAATGTTAAATATTTTATGAAATAAATAATTTTTGTAAGTTTTTAAAAACTGGGAAACATCCGATGAATAAAGCGTAGGGAACTAACTTTTGTACACTAAGCCTAACATCATGCCAAAGTAGTACGATTGACATGTACTTCCTGATATACGTGATATGAATACCGAGATTTGTGCTTAAATAATAAGGCGAAGTATTTACGTATTTAAGCAATTTAGAGTATTTGTCCCATCGAATGGGAAAAAGGAGGGAATCCAGCGATTCATTTTTTTTTCTAATATTATTCATACATCAATTTTGATCCACATTTTTGAGCATATTTAAAAGAAACGTTGATGCTAACAATATAAAATAGAGGTTCCCAACCAAGGGTGTTGGCGCTCCTGAGGGTACGAAATGAGGATCCAGGGAGTGCGCGGAGGAGGTCCGTTTTTCCCCCAAGTGCCGCCAAGAGGAAATGTGTAATGTACACTTTTTAGGGAGGGGTGCGAGGGCCACAAAAGGTTGGGAACCACTGATCTCAAATCTCAAATTTGAAGGGCAGTTACATTCCTTCGTCATGGAAAAGGAGTTCCACTACCGCACTTGTGTTTAAAATTTTTTGCTAAAATTATAATAAATAATTAACTAAGTGGAAGCCGTACGGCTTCAGTAAAGTTTTTATTGTGTAAATATAAAACGTTGTTTTTAATTAATTATTTATTATAAGTTTAGCAAAAGAGTTCTAATATATATCTAATATAGTTACAGCTATACAGTATAAAAAAAAGGTCGTGTAATCTCATACATTAGGTCGTCAAGAAATTAATGTTGCTTCGTTTTTTAGATGAAAAAACCCAAACAACTTATATATCAATAATGCTTTTCCATCTTACATATCAGGTTTTTAATGCCCTGATTAAAGAAATCACTTGGCTTTGAAGCAACAAACATGTCGATGTCTTCTTTAACATCTTCCACATTTGGGTATGTTTTCCCATTAAGATGATAATCTGATGGTACCATATCTAGAGAATATGGTTGGTGGGGGAGAACTTCACAACCCAACTCCATAATCTCGTGTTGCCTCAAACGTGCCACATGTGGATGTGTATTACCGTGGAGAAGAAGAACACCTTTCCGATTGACGAGTGAAGGGTGTTTCTGATGAAAGGTTTGATTTAAACGTTCCAGTTGCTGATTATAGATCTCTGCATTGACAA